AGGCCGAATTAGAGGGGCGGACTCCTCACCTGTGGTTGCAACCTTCCTTGAGCTGCCAACCCAGACCTTTTTTCAAGAGGGTTGCTCCTCCGTTCATAGGCAGCGATCAAAAACCATTTCCATGTAACTAAACTATTGAGCTTGAGCACATAGCACTGCTTCCTGATCTTAGCTGGACACCAGTCTGACATCGTACAGAACCTTATCTGTAGTGCCCCTCGTGGAGGGTTCAGCCGGAGGATTTTCGCCGACCAAATCTGTTACTAACTCTAAAGTAATTCGATTATGAATACGATATATAATATTATGTACATATTTCATAAAAACTATGAAGGCCTCCACTATAAGAGTAGTATATTTGAAAATTGGAGAGTTCTACCTTTATGCTAAGTTACATCTGCTTCAGTTGAAATCTGGCAGCTATTAAGTAACAAAAAAACTAATTTAATTATGAATAATTCAGTCGAAACTTTTTTAGAACCTTCTTTTATTTCTATTTAGATGAAAGATTAACAAATATTATTAGAATTAATTTCCACGCCATTCTCTCATATTTGTGCTTGGAACCCGGTATGACCTATGTAGGAACTGCATCCGGCCATAATCGCTTACGTTTCACGCCTGAGTTACTTGGAGTTTTGTTTTTCTCGTTATTTCTCTAATGTGACTTGAAACTATTTTCCACTATCAGAAAATATTGAAATTGAATTTCATTTAGGTTAACGAGACAAAATTTCGAACTAGAGATAAACCCGCATAAATTATGAAAGAAATTAATAAAAAAAATTTGACTGTGGATACAGGCTATTTACGTATCAATAAACCTATATCGAAAGACTCCAAGTATTTATTTTATTTGCATTTATGAATTATTAAAATATTTTTTTTTTTATAAGAACTTGCTTGCGTCAACCGATTTCGAAAATTCTTTCTGCATCGGAAAGGTGGTGTCTCAGAGGTGGTCCCATACTAATCTAGTTTAGATCCGATCAATGGATCATGAAAAAATTAACGGTACTCCTAAATTTTTATATGAGATTTGAAGTCGATTTTGTTTTTTGTTTAAAAATTACTTGTTTCTAGTTAACATCTCAATGCATTTAATTAGTTTTATACGTTTTTATAACACTCATTAGGTGGGAAAAAATTGCCAATATAGTGATACCATATTTGACTTCATACGGGAAAGAGGGCCAAACATTTTTTGTTGTGTTTTTGATTCGTGGTCTTCATTTAACCTAGTGCCGGCCACAATCGCACATTTTGTGCTTACATTTACATTTTGTGCATGTGTTGAAAGTTAAAAATCTCACCTAAAATATTTTGCAAACGTAACACAAAGTTTTATGATCATAACGTGTAATCATGATTACAAAAAATACAAAATTGTTTAGTTAAATATTTATAAATTGTAAAGCAAAAGTATCCCGTGGGAGAAGCTTTTTGAATCTGTCCATGGATTTTATACAGATGCGAAGAGTCCACTGACGCTGCGCATTACCTTGTTCAGCTTGAGCTGCGCTAGCTGGATGTTTCTTGCTGCTATGACGGCGGCCACGTCGTCCACGAAGGCGACAAGGAAGGCGATGTCCGGCATTCCCCNGGGAGAAGCTTTTTGAATCTGTCCATGGATTTTATACAGATGCGAAGAGTGTAAAAGCTTTCGATGGCCATCACTAATCTTGCCTATTAGAATTACAAAAGATTTGAGCAAACTATTTGATAAGCTGGTTTATTCAAGTTAATTCACATGATTTCATAAAACAAAGTTGCAAGCTTATACGTTGCTATATACATATGTATATTTATACAAATCGAAATCAAAGCGTAAATGATCTCATTTCTGTATATAGTTTTTCCGTTCATATCGTGGTAAATTTAACAGCTTATGAGGTTTACATGGCTTTTAAACGCTTATATGAGTACCCCCATCAAGTTTTGTTTCAAATTTAAAACTTTTAATATGTGGGCGATTCCACCGTCACGGGTTGGACATTTATACAGAAAAAATTTTCTTTCTTGTTTAAATTTAACCATATATAGTACTCAAGAATTCTACATTTTCGTATAACTACACCTAATTGACTATTATTTGAGTTATTACAAAATAGGAAAAAAATTTCAGCTTACTTTTATATGGAAAAAATCTGATTTATTTCTTCTGTCACGGGTGGTACAAAAAAAGAACCTGCTTTTTGGAGCAGATATATTTTACGCTCTCTTCGAATTTATTTCACTTTTCTGCGTGAACTTTATGTCTTATAATAAAACAAAGAACCAGGCACACAAACAAAGCAAAAACTACAAAAAAAATTATGGATATATTATATAAAAAATTCGAAATTCCTCTGTCACGGATGGGACAACGTTTGCCACAGGTAGGACGCGTAGGAATTTTTAAATGAAAAGGAGCTTTTAGTGTGGTCCATGTATAAAGATTAGTTATTAAAAAATATAAAAAGATAAGTAGGGGTTAAATTCACTCACGTTTTATCTTAGGATTGTGCCTTTTATAAGGAGAGAATGCTTAGCACCGTCAGCCAAAAAAATTATTAAAAATGAAAGCGATTTCCTAGCGTCTTAAAATTTTAACTTTTATATATTTAAATTTAATGGACTATAAAACTGCATACCTAGAAATTCACAACAAAAAGTTTAAAATTCTTGGGTGTAGTTGTTAAAGTTTGTTGAATTTTTATAATTTTTGTAAGTTTGAAATTGAGATTTATGTGGTTCTGGTTAGGTAATGTGCTAAACTTTTATAAAAAAAAACTATAAACATTAGATTAACAAAATAAAAAACCACAACTGTTCAAAATGTAACTTTACTTAATCAGCTGACCACAAGGTCAACAAGTAAGCGCATCCCCCCTAGTCCCCTTCGTCCACATCAACAAACAAATAAAGCTTATCAGCCCTGTAAACCTACCTCTGACAACTGTCCCACACATAGCTGTCACGGGTGGGACATGCTTTTTTGCTGAATTATTTTTATATAACTACGTGGAAACGACAATGCAATTGTGGTAAATATTTGCAATGGAATTCTGACATTATGTAACAAACACGAAACACAACCTCAACTTCTGTAATTAAATAGAACAACTTTTTGATTTTTTTGTAACGGGTGGGACAAGGCCAACACAGCTTAATAATAAGTCATAATATAGATAAATCAGTCACAAAATTTAATATCTAATACAATTTTATTAAAAGCAGATGAGTTCTACTATATATTTTTCTTACCAAACACTTGAATTATGAATCGCAAATTATTTGACAGTGCATTCAACACAACCTACTTTAAACTCAATCAAAAAATTTACATGGAACTTGATTTCGAAACGTAAAAAATGTAATAAAAATGTATTTAAAGCTTTAATCTGTTATTTTTTGATTGATTCAAGATTTTTACAAATGGCTTACATGTCCACACGTTTGTTAGTTTTATAAAGAAAATAATTTTTGCGCTGAGGTTCACTTTCCCATGGAACCTCCCATGTAGCTAATTTTTCTCTTTTTTATTTAATTGTGGTTCGCAGGTTGTCCTCATTATGGAGTGGTACTAGGAAGTTCTCTTGACCATTTTCCAACAATAAACGATTTCTTTTCTGTAGCTATCCCACTTTGTTTGTTCAATAAGAATAATAGCATCAAACAGGGCAAATGAATGAGTGAAAAACGAAATAACGTCCGAGAGGTATTACTATCCGTTCGTTGATAAAATTTAAATGCTGAAAAATATAAAAATGTAATTATAAATTTTTAGAAATATATATACAATATGAATATACTTATAAATTGTGTGTAAGACCTGCAAACCATTTTTTTAGAGTATTCTGAATTGTAGAGAAATTTTAAAGAATTCGTTAAAATCTCATCCGAATTTTTGCCGAACTTTATAAAATTAAATAAACGAGCACACTTCGATTCTTTTGCGAAATTTCGGAAGAAAATCGGTAAAGCAATGAAAATAATACCGTTATGTGAAGAATTTCTCGCAGAATATTTTCAGAACTCTCTTTATTTTTTGTACAGAAATTTCCTTACGAGTTCGTGTCAACCAATTCATATAATTTTATTTGAATATTCGTAAAAAAACGTTATAGAAATGAGATCCTCCTAAAGATTTCGTTAAGATTTCGGGAACTTTGGTTTGCAGGGACGAAACGTGGATATTACAGAACTCGTCTGAATTTCGATGTTCGTGAATCCGAGTAACCATTAAACAATTTTCCAATTTGTAGGAGGAAGATTTAAATAAACTAGCTTGAGATCGGTGCGGTAATGGTACCAGCCAAACCAAAAACAGTTTCAAAACATACGAAAGAATACTCACGAAACTACTAAACCCATGTTACAAATATAGTGGCGGTTAAAAATGAATGAATAGCGTGTCGTTTTTAATAATTAATAATTATTGTTATTTAAGCTAATTAATGTTTTCCAAGCTAAAGTTTTTTTTGATAATATTTTATAAAAATGTGGTTCATGCTTTAACAGACACCATATTAATGACACTTTCAAATTCTAAACAGATTTTAAAAAAATTCCGAACATTTTTATCTAAAATTCGGGCTTTAACCAGAATTTTTATAATTTTTTTTGGTATGCAGTTAACAGGCTTATAAAATTTTAGAAAATGAGTGAAAGTTTTGAGCGGCTAAAACATTGATTTTTATTAATTTTTTTTTGTTGACAACTTTTTTCATGTAAATAGCGAAATTTAGGAAACTGGCGTTGATTTTATTTTTAATTTTTTTTTCGCAAACGGTCTTGCGCTCATAATTCCACAACCAATTCATGTTTATATGGAAAAAATGCAAAACGCTACCAAAAAAAAAATAATTATTAAAAATCTATGCGATTTTTTAACCGCTCAAAATTTGCATTAACTTTACTAAAATTTCATAAGCCTGTAAAGTGCATACCCAAAAAGTTTATAAAAATTCTGGTTAAAAATATCGAAATTTAGATAATTTATGGAACTTTTCTAAATTATGTGTAAAGCTTAAAAGGGTGATTATAAGGGTTTTGTTAAAGCATGAACCATATTTTTATAAAACATTATCAAAAAAAAATTATCTCGAAAAGCACTGTAAATATTAAAAACGAAACACCATTCATCCTTGTTTGACCGCCACTGCTTATGAAGGTAGTTTCACTTCGAATATTTTTTATTAAAATCATGATTATTGATATATCCTTTTTCTGAACAATATACATATATGGCCTGCCACATTTTTCAAATAAACGTACACGAAATCACTTTTCTGTAGAAAATGTACATACATACTCATACATAGTGGCGTTCAAAATAATAGCAGCAAAATTCAAAATGATGCTGTTGGTAACTTAACGTTATTTTTTTATTGTTCATAATTTTCAATTAAAACATGGGTCCATCTATATCAGATACCATATACATAAAAGTTTCAAAGCTTACACAAAGTTCACAAAAACTAATTAAACTTCAAAAAAATTTGTATCAAACTTTCGATTTTTTTAATTAGATTTCTTAGAAAGATTTCAAGCATGCAGTTTTATAGCCCATTCAAATGATAAAGTGCATGAACAAAGCTTACCTTCATATGGAAGAAAATGCGCAACACCCTCCACAAAACAATTCTAAAAAATCAACGGTAATTTTTAGCGACTAGAAACTTGCACTTTATTATACTAAAATGGGCTAAATATTATACTGAATGGGCTATAAATTGCATGAAATTTTTTATACCCGAGCGCACTTGTGCACAAGGGTATATTAATTTTGTTCACATAACGGTTGTTTGTAACAGCCAAAACGAATCGAGATAGATATAGACAAATGTATACATAAATGATCAGGATGAAAAAAGAAATCGATTAAGCCATGTCTGTCTGTCCGTCCGTCTGTCCGTCTGTCCGTCTGTCCGTCTGTCCGTGTACACGATAACTCGAGCAAAAATTGAGATATCTCAACGAAATTTGGTATGTAGGTTTCCCTTAATCCAAGGTAGGTTGGTATTGAAAATGGGCGAAATCGGACTTTAACCACGCCCACTTCCCATATAACGGTAATTTCCAGAAATACGAAAACTGCGATATTTTAGTAACTACTGAAGATAATTCACTCAAAATTGATATTTACAATAATTTTTAGACGAAAAATAAGAATATTATAAATTTTTGGAAAATGGGCGTAGCCACGCCCACTTATGGTTACATGTGTATATCTAATAAGTTATTTTTCTCATAATTATTTGTGATGTCACATGGTGACGCATTCAAAAATAAGAGAATCTCCTCCAAATACCCATCATTGATCCAAAAAAATTTATTAGATATAGCTACAAATGTAGCTTTAAATTATAAAATTTTCATTTCAACGATCAACCTACCAAAACCGACAACTTCAGCAAAAAACATTTCAGCATGCAGCATTTTAATCTATTTTGGTATATTTAAAGGAAAATTATGGTACAAACGAAAAATGTTATACGGAAACCATAGTCAGCATGCACTAAAGTGAACAAACTGGAGATTAATAGTAAATTAACGAAAAATAAACTAAACAAACGTTGTGCTTAATAAATTAACTCACTTTTTCGTTGTGTACTAGCATTAGTAATAAAATTTGCGATAAATAACTCAAAAAGGCCATATTTTCTTTTGTTTATTTACAAACATGTGTTTGTGATCAGGTGATTTTCTTACTTGCAAGTTTTCGCTGGTAAACATTTTTCCAGCAGAAATTTGCAGCTCTCTACCACATTTTGCTCTCCGAATTTCCCCCACTTTGCAAGTTTTTTGGGTACGAGAACGCAAAACCAGTAACAGTTTTCTAAAACTTTTGATAGTTTTGGGTACAAGTACACTCCTAAAGTAAATTAGAGCATAACATTTATATATGTAGATATGTATGTGTTCATATGTTTCACAGCATGCTTTCGATAAACATCATCTTCACATCACTGCGGTTGCTCTGGCTATTTTACAAAATTAACAAGAAAATAATACCTTATTCTTTTGCATAAACATGCCATGAAAGTAAAAATTACATAAATTGATGATCAAACTTGACACTATTTTATAAAAATGTAATTTTTTCAAAATATCGTAAAGAAAAATCGATACATTTTCACACTGATTTTGCTATATCGTAAAACTAATTTAAAACTACTTAGTAGAAGTCTGAAATGCGACTAGATGAATAGAAGTGAATTTCAAGATTATGCTTAAATTTAATTTGCAACTTTGTTAGTTTCGACTTAGTAGCTGAGCTATGAATACGCGCCATAGTATTTATACATATACACATATGTGTAGTAATATAAGAATGTCACAACATTCAGGGTGTCCCAGAAGTAATGTGCCAAACTTTAGGGGAAGGTAGGTGGGGGGTGAGCTCCCCGATAAACAAAAAATTTGGAGGTAAAAGTGTCACCGTTTTTGAAATATTTACATTTTTCTGAACTAAAAAAAAAATCGTGCCTTTTCATGTATTTTCTTTAACTATACTTAGTAAATTTTTTATGTAAAATACTTCCAGATAGTTGCTTCTCCATACTCAAATGCAATGTAGTTAAAATATATTAAGGAACCATTATAAAATTAGGATTATTTTGGGATTTTTTAATTTTTGATATTTTCTTCCCCAACTTTGAATATCTCTGGTGAAAAAAAATGTACGAGCTATAACTTCACATTACATAAAAAAATTGCTAATTTAATAAACATTTCAGAAGGGTGCCACTCTTACAGTTTCTAATAGAAAAAAAGTTAAAGCCGCTTTTGTGGGTAAAGGACTGAGACACGCTAGAATGTATTTAATAGATTTAAATTTAAGTTGCCCTTGTTACCGACCAATTACATGCTAAATAGTACAAAGGTACATTATTAGATTTTGTGAAATTGGACCCTTCGAACATTGTGTTATTAATACTATGACAGAGAACACGCAGTATACATACGTCGCATGAATATGCGGATATTCACCTAATTTACGGTGAAGTTTGCTGTAATGCCAGAGCTGCTCAAAGACTCTATGCAGAGCGATACCCCAATCGTCGGCATCCGGGTCGTGAAGTATTCGCCCGTATACAGTATATACAGAGGCAACCACGATTTGGTTTGAGAGCGGAAATATTCATGATTGTGAGCCACCCCCAAAGAATGCTGAGCGCTCTCTGAGAACATGTGTTTCTAGTCATGGCACGGATAATCGAATAACCGATTATAATCGGTTATTTTCATTCGGTTAACGATTTAATTGTATCGAAATTTCCCTTTCGATTAATCGAGCGATTAACCGATTAATTTTAAAACTAATCGAAAAGAAACCATCGAAAATTGACTACATCACACAATCATGTATGAGTAAGAATTACGTAACGAAAATTGGAACTCTTATCTTCTTCTTCTTTTTTGGCGCTGTAACCGCCTAAGCGATTTTGGCCGAGTTCAGCAAAGCACGCCAGTCGTTTCTCCTCTGTGCCAACTGACCCCAATTGGAAACGCCAAGTGAAGCCAAGTCCTTCTCCACCTGATCTTTCCATCGCAGTGGGGGCCTCCCTCTTCCTCTGCTACCACCAGCGGGTTCGGAGTTGAATACTTTCAGAGCTGGAGCGTCGGTATCCATTCGAACGACATGGCCAAGCCAGCGGAGCCGCTGTATTTTAATTCGCTGCACTATGTCCATGTCGTTGTAAAGCTCATACAGCTCATCGTTCCATCGTCTGCGGTACTCGCCGTC